GACAGTACCAAAAGGCAAAAAGATATGACGCCGGAAGATGAGCCCCTCAGGTCGGAAGGTGTCCAATACGCTACTGGGGAAGAGCGGAGGGCTAGTACTAGTAGCGCCAGAAAGAATGAAGCAACTGGGTCAAAGCCAAAAGGACACTCAGTTGCAGATGTATCTGGTGGTGAAAGGAAAGTCTGATGCTGCAAAGATCTATACTCCATAGGAACCTGGAATGTAAGATCCATGAATCAAGGCAAGCTGGATGCGGTCAAACAAGAGATGACAAGACTGAACATCGACATCTTAGGAATCAGCGAACTAAAATGGACAGGAATGGGTGCATTTAATTCAGAGGACCATCAGGTATACTACTGCGGGCAAGAATCCCTCAGAAAAAATGAAGTAGCCTTCATAGTCAATAAAAGAGTAGGAAAAGCAGTACTGGGATACAATCTCCAAAATGACAGAATGATCTCAGTTCGAATCCAAGGCAAACCATTCAACATCACAGTAGTCCAAGTCTATGCCCCAACCACTGGTGCTGAAGAGGCTGAAATTGACCAGTTCTATGAAGGCCTACAACACCTTCTAGAATTAACACCAAAAAATGTTAATGTTATCATCATGGGGGATTGGAATGCTAAAGTAGAAAGCCAAAAGATAACTGGAATAACAGGCAAGTTTGGCCTTGGAGTACAAAATGAAGCAGGGCACAGCCTGGTACAATTTTGTCAAGAGAATACGATGGTCATAGCAAACACTCTTTTCCAACAACCCAAGAGATGACTCTACACATGGTCATCACCAGACGGTCAACACAGAAATCAGACTGACTATGTGCTCTGCAGCCAAAGATGGAGAAGCTGTATACAGTCAGTAAAAACTAGACCAGGAGCTGACTGTGCCTCAGATCATGAGCTTCTCGTTGCAAAATTTAGGCTTAAACTGAAGAAAGTAGGGAAAAGCACTAGGCCACTCAGGTATGACCTAAATCACATTCCTGATGAATATACAGTAGAGGTGACAAATAGATTTAAGGAATTAGATCTGATAGACAGAGTGCCTGAAGAACTATGGACAGAGGTTCGCAACATTGTACAAGAGGTAGCAACTAAAACCATCCCAAAGAAAAAGAAATGCAAGAAAGCAAAATGGCTGTCCGAGGAAGCTTTACAAATAGCTGAGGAAAGAAGGGAAGCGAAAGGCAAGGGAGAAAGAGAAAGATACAAACAACTGAATGCAGAATTCCAGAGAATAGCTAGAAGAGATAAGAATGCCTTCTTAAATGAACAGTGCAAAGAAACAGAAGAAAACAATAGAATAGGGAGGACCAGAGATCTCTTCAAGCAAATTGGAGATATGAAGGGAACGTTTCATGCAAAGATGGGCATGATAAAGGACCAAAATGGCAGGGACCTAACAGAGGCAGAAGAGATTAAGAAGAGGTGGTAAGATTACACAGAGGAACTATACAAGAAAGAGCTTAACATTCCTGATAACCACAATGGGGTGGTCACTGACCTCAAGCCAGACATCCTGGAATGTGAAGTCAAATGGGCCTTAGGAAGTCTGAGCAACAACAAAGCTAGTGGAGGTGACAGTATTCCAGCTGACCTATTCAAAATCTTAAAAGATGATGTAGTAAAAGTGCCACACTCAATATGCCAGCAAATTTGGAAAACTCAACAGTGGCCACAGGATTCGAAAAGGTCAGTTTACATTTCCATCCCCAAGAAGCTCAATGCCAAAGAATGTTCAAACTACTGCACCATTGCACTCATTTCACATGCTAGCAAAGTCATGCTCAAAATCCTACAAGCTAGGCTCCAGCAGTATGTGGACCGAGAACTACCAGAAGTACAGGCAGGATTTCAAAGAGGGAGAGGAACTAGAGATCAAATTGCCAACATATGCTGGATCATGGAGAAAGCTAGGGAGTTCCAGAAAAACATCGACTTCTGCTTCACTGACTATGTTAAAGCCTTTGATTGTGTGGAACACAACAAATTGTGGCAAGTTCTTAAAGAGATGAGAGTACCAGACCATCTTATTTGTCTCTTGAGAAACCTATATGCAGGTCAAGAAGCAACAGTGAGAACTGGGCACAGAACCACTGATCGGTTCAAAATTGAGAAGGTGTTCGGCAAGATTGTATACTGTCACCCTGCCTATTTAACTTATATGCAGAGCACATCATGAGAAAGGCGGGGCTAGATGAATCACCAGTTGAGATCTGCGGGAGAGTCCCTTCTCCGGGAACCCTCCATGAAAGAAATTAGGAGAGTAAGTACCCGGAGGAGGGCTTTCTCTGCGGTGGCGCCCAACCTATGGAATTCACTCCCCAAAGAGGTCCGCCTGGCACCGTCGTTACTGGCTTTTCGGCGCCAGGTAAAGACCTTTTTATTTAAACATCATTTCAATTGTTAAAACATATGATCTGGCCTGGGCAACTTCTTCTTCCTTCTCTTTCTCCTCCTATATTTTTATTTTATACTGATAATTTTAATTTTGTATTTGTAAATCAATGTATTTTTTGTATTGTTATATTTAATGGTAATTTATTATGTACTATTGTATTTCAATGTATTTTATCATGTTGTAAGCCGCCCCGAGGTTTCGGCAAGGGGCGGCATAGAAATGTTATAATAATAATAATAATAATAATAATAATAATAATAATAATAATAATAAAGATTGCTGGGAGAAATATCAACAACCTCAGACATGCAGATGATACCACTCTCATGGCAGAAAGTGAAGAGGAACTAAAGAGCCTCTTGATGCGGGTGAAGGAGGAGAGCGCAAAAGTTGGCTTGAAACTCAACATTAAGAAAACTAAGATCATGGCATCTGGTCCTCTCACTTCCTGGCCAATAGATGGGGAAGAAATGGAGGTAGTGACAGATTCTATTTTCCTGCGCTCCAAGATCACCGCAGATGGGGACTGCAGCCAAGAAATTTAAAGACACTTGCTCCTGGGGAGGAAAGCTATGGCAAATCTAGACAGCATACTAAAAAACAAAGACATCACCCTGCCAACAAAAGTGCGTATAGTCAAGGCTATGGTTTTCCCAGTTGCAATGTATGGCTGTGAAAGTTGGACCATAAGGAAGGCTGAGCGCCGAAAATTGAGGCCTTTGAATTGTGGTGCTGGCGGAGACTCCTGCGAGTCACTTGGACAGCAAAGCGATCAAACCGGTCAGTCCTAGAGATGATCAACCCTAACTGCTCTTTAGAAGGCCAGATACTGAAGATGAAACTCAAATACTTCCACCTAATGCGAAGGAGGGACTCCCTTGAGAAAAGCCTAATGCTGGGAAGAATAGATGGCAAAAGAGGAAGGGGACAGCAGAGGATGAGGTGGCTAAATGGAGTCACTGAAGCAGTTGGTGTGACCTTGAGTGGACTCCGGGGGATGGTGGAGGACAGGAAGACCTGGAGGAAGGTTGTCCATGTGGTTCCGATGGGTCGGACATGACTTCGCAACTAACAACAACAACAAACAAAGATACTGACTGTTCATGGAAACTGATTCATATCTCCTTTCATTAATCAATGATCAAAGGAGCCAGAAATATTAAACATTCTAAAAACATTGTCAAAAAATCATAATTAAACAATTATTAATTGCCTACCTGGACTTGTTATTTACTCTCCACTGCCTCAGGATTCTGCAGTTTGTCTGCCTGAGCCATTACAAATACACAAACTGAGTTTGGCTAGAGTTTAGGAATAGGAGTGGGGAATCCCTGGTTCAATTCCCCTTTCAGCCATGAAGCTTTCTGAGTGACCTTGGGTCAGTCACTTGCTCTCATCCTAACCTACGAGGATCCTAACCTCATATCTCACAGGGTTGCAGTGAAGATGCATGAAAGAATGAACTATAAAAGTCACTGTGCATTCCTTGAAAGAAGGGAGGGAGGAGGAAAAAATAGCAATTCAGGAGATTCTCAGCCATACTTTCTCCAGAAGATAAATATCCTTATCAAGCTCACTTTGTAGCAAAGATGTAGAACTGTTTAAGTTCAAAACTAAGAAGCCTCGTCTTCCACAATAAACTATTGAGCACTAGTAGGAGAGACAAAATATATTAACAGTAAAATTGAACAAGGAAAGTTATGGAAGTTCTCCGCGAACTTCTGACATGTTATTTTGATGTTAGTTACTTCTAGTCCAAGAAATTTAAGGTGACATTTTAGCTTCACAATAATTCTGCAAACTATTGGCCATATGATGTGTGTTGTTGGTTCTAATTCCAAAGGGTAGCACCGGTCCCACAGGAAGTGTAGAGCACTGGAGAGCAGATAAGAAACAGTCTCAAGCTAAATGCTAAATGGCTGAATTCAATATGAAGGAAGAACCTTCACTGACAAAACTATCTAAATCTATCTTTAACCAAAATTGTGGTGGCTTTGGGTCCCCAGTAAAAGCTTAGCCTATATTTGGTTGTCCCATCCTTATTTACCAGAACCTTTTCTTTGGATGTCCTTGGACAACAGGGTGCAACCTGTTGTCAATAAGTACAAGTAAGCTATTACCTCTTTTTGCAATTTGAAACTAATCTATAACACCTGAGAGTTAGTGTGTGCCCACAGGAGTTTTCTAATTGTTGGCAATCAACCAGGAAGTGAATATTTTTGGATGCCCAATCCTCTGAAGCCAGTTAATCACAGTGGTTCCTGCTG